TGTCCAAATCAGAATCGAAATATTTTTGCACTGCGATTTTTCTGCAGAGCTTTTCCTAGGCTTTCAGCACTGGTTTGGCAGTGATTGCGACCCCAAAAAGGCACATGCCGGGACAAGTCAAGTGAAACTGTATTTCATTTGCTGAAATCAATTCAGTAGTTTTTGCTCTGCGTCGGTCTGCTTTCAACGCCGAATTACTATGAAGAAGCAGTTCTGAAACCATGAGTCACTCTTGCTGTTGAAACAGCTGTGGAGCGCACACGTAGAGACATAAGACAATAAAATCGGTATGGAACCAATTGGACTATGCGGAAGCTGATGAACATGAAAATTACTTTTAGGTGTTGTGATGGCGCCATCATGTCACGCGCCCTGCAGCCGAAACACACAAGTGATTATAAGGATGACGCAATCGGGTTTCCACAGAGGGTGAGGTTGGTCTCAGAACGCCCTAGCACAACTGCAAATTGCATTTTAAAGAAATGAAGCGAATCCCCAAGTGAATGTTGTCTTTCAAGTCTGAGAGCGTGTTCAGAGTGTCTGTTAACGGTGGCTTTCATCTCCACTGAAATGCACGTTACATGATGGTGGCGCCATCACAACATATGCTTTGTTTGCACACATCATTATGATTCCTTTGGTCCAGCACTCAATTTTCTCCAATTTTACGCGACTCCGTGTGAGCTCTACAGCTGCCTGAAAGGTGAAAGTGACTTATGGATCGCCATGTACCTTCAGATCTCAGAAAACAGGGGACTGCACCGTTACAGATGAACTTTGTAGACCCAGAATGCAGTGGCGTAGCCAGGGTTTCGCCAATGGTTTCGCTAAGCAAAACAGTGGGGGGGGCTTACTTCTCCTTCGCCCGTGGGAGGGGGGGGGGGGGGGGGGGGGGGGGGGGGGGACAGTNCCCCCCCCCCCCCCTCCCACGGGCGAAGGAGAAGTAAGCTCTGTTTTGCTTAGCGAAACCATTGGCGAAACCCTGGCTACGCCACTGCCAGAATGGAATGGAAGAAGTAATTTTTAAACTCTTGTTTGAGGGTCAACGTGGTTTAGAAGTGTGAAATTGTCTTCGAAACGGTTGAATCTGCGACGCTATTCGCTCCTATTCATGGTATCTCAGTCAAAATATTGCCACTCCTTTTTTTTTACCTGCAGTCACCTGCAGTTCGCTTTTGAAGAGGATGAGGGAGAGAATGCAACGATCGGGAGAGTGAAATGGGATGCTTTTACCTCCTAATGTCAAGGACGCAATTATTTGAATTAATAAATGAGACCGAAGAGCGAATGAGACTGGAATTCCTACGGGTGCCATCAAAGGAGACTGGAGTAGTGCATCCTCCCGAGAAATTGCCTTCAGACCCAGATTTTTTTACCGTCTTCTGTAACGCCCTTCCCTTTTCTCTCTCCCCCTCCATGAGAAGTCTTTCTCTGCTACCATTCCCGGTTCAGCTCCAATTACAGTAGTTTTACTTTGGAAGATCATAGTGAATGACTGACTTAGACTTTCACCCACGTTTCGGAGCAACGGGATTCCATTTGTGCTCATTCATAATGAAGCACGATCGTATAGGAACTGTGGTGATTCATATTCACGGATCATTGACTTCCTTGAAGGTCACACTTCACGACGCATTTTCCATTTAGTGCTGGAGAAAGACCTTACAGAAGCTCAGGCTCCGCTCTTCTTTTCCCTGAACTGTTAACTGTGCTGAAACTGTTGTGGAGCGTGGAAGTACCTTGGACTGTGTTCTGTTATGACGTGCCTACCTAACTCGCGACCCGGAATGTGGCATTTTAGTGCTGGCGTTTCGCCAAACGTGAAACTGATTTATTATTACTATTTTAAGTAGGCGTTTCTTATCATAACCAAAGTTTATTGATATCAGCTGGCTAATGCACTCAAACCTTGAAAATCAAAACCAAACCCCATATTTCATGCCCATTTTTCTCCTGTTCATGTTATCACCGTTGCCGGATGTTGTTATCACGAATGGTCCCACTAGCCTATCTCAGCAGTTACTATATTGTGTGGAGGGGAGGAAAATGATGGAAGGTATCTCCCTGGGGTTTGAGGAAATGACTCCTCCGGGCTGTGACGCGAGGGCTGGAAACGACCTGACATTGATTATAGAATCTGTACAACAGCCTGGAGATAGGAATCGAGGGCTTAGTATAATATGTTAATCTATATATATGCATACAATCTATATATATGGGGATGCAGAGTTCAGAAAAAAATCCGACTTTGGTGGTACATGCCCTGGGGCACCCATTTTGGGGGGGAAATGTTATCAACGATATATATTTTTGCTTCAGTCAAACGGAGAGGCATGGAAAGCTGAAACTTGGCATGGACATGCCTACTGAGACACTCAGTTCAGGAAAAATGTCAATTTTCAGATGCATGCCCTGGAGGTATATTTTTTGGGGATGACGTTTAAAAAAAAATGTTATCCTACTGAATTGGACAGAGATAGGTGAAACTTGATAAGTACCTATTGGGAACCTGAATTCAGAAAAATTCAGACTTTGGAGGTAAATGCCCCGGGGGCGCAAATTTCAAGGCGAGATGTTTTCTAATAAATTTTTTGTCTGTCAAACGGATGAACGTGGAAAACTAAAATTTGATATGGACGTGCCTACTGAGACTCTGAGTTCAGGAAAATTTTCAAATTTCGGACACATGCCCTGGGGCCATATTTTTGTTTGGTGACGTTTTCAATTTGTTTTTGTCCTACCGAATTGGGCAGAAATAGAAAAGTGAAACTTGGCACACCAATAATTGAGGTGATGATGAGTTCAGAAAAACTTCAAGTTTTGTGGTGCATGCCGTCAGGGCACAGCTATTGGCTGCGTAGGATTTTCGGAATATATTTTTGCACCAGCAAAAGAGCGAACGGATAAGACTGAAACTGTATAAGAGCAAACGGAGCGAACGGATAAGACTGGTAGGCACGTAGTTCTCCCAGCACTGATTTCAGTAAAATGTTAATTTTTAGGTAAAACCCCTGAAGGCACATTTTTTGCAAAAAGCACATTTTCCGGAATCCTTTCTGATCCAATGAAAGAGAGACCTAAAGAAAGTTGAAATTTGGAGCAGAAGTACCTGTTGGATTGCTGAGTGCACATCCTACTTTTCACATATGATCCCTCAGGGCAGATTATGCAGAGATTTGAAGTTGGGCACAAGAAATAATTGGAGTAATTATTTCCATGGAAATATCGGTTCGTTCTCTCTCGGCACACATTTTGACAGGCACAAACTTTTAATACTTTTTGCCACTTTGAAACTAAGTTAAGGAATGAATTTTGGAGAATGGAGCGCCAAGGCGCGACCATAGCATAGTATAATATAAATGTTGCTCGCACGAAGATGGTTCTTGATGACTGACAATAAGGAAAATTCGAAAATAAAAGTACCGAGTTTAGAGATATCTTTTATCGCCACCAAAATTTACCTTTCGCCAATGGGATAACGATAAGCGACGCCCACTATATACTGGGTGAGACAAAAAAATGCGCCGCTCTTTGAAATTTTGTGGCTCCTCTGAAACAGCAGCTAGAATTATGCAATTCCTTTCATACTACTACTTTCTCTTTCATCTTGCGTCCTTCATATCTGTAATGAACTTCTCGTTCTTATCCAGTCGAAATTCTAAAGACTTAATTTCCTCTTGTAGCTGCAGCAGATGGCCATCGAACTGGGCTTTCGAGCTCACTATTACGAATCGCAAGGTAAATTGATGACATTAAAACCACTAGACCAAATGAAGAACGTCCACTCTCTCTCTCTCTCTCTCCCACCAAGTCTACAGGGTATGGCAAAAAAAATGACCAACGACTTTCAACCCAAATATGTCCCCTCACAATAAAGCTATTTCCGCGAAACTTTCCCTTTGCATATATGAGTATGTTTCCAACTGCTACATCAAATTTCACCCGAATTTGTTGACGCCAAGCAATATTATCAGCAATTATTGAAAAGAAGTTAGACATTGAGGATGGACAAGAGTTCTCGCTGGTAGTGGGAGGGGAGGACGCACTCGAGCACCATCCCGTTCCTCCTGCTTAACAAGACTACGTCGATCTCCACTTCCATTCCTCTGCGCTCGAGTGTGTCCTCCTCTCCTACTACCATCGAGAACTCTTGTCCATTCTCAAAGTCCAACTTCTTTTCAATAATTGCTGATAATATCGCTTTGCGTCAACAAATTCGGATGAAATTAGATGCATCAGTTGGAAACATACTCATATATGCAAAGGGAAAGTTCCGCGAAAATAGTTCAACAGCAGTGGTGCCCAACCCGCGGCCCGCGGGCAAAAAGTGGCCCGCGAGGTGCTTACAAGTGGCCCGCGAGGTCCTAACCCACAATAAATACCCTTAGGTTTCCTTAGTCTCCTACGATGCTAGTGACTGGTCCGCGATGGCTGTGGGAGTGAGTTATTGGCCCCCTAGCCGAAAAGGTTGGGCACCACTGTTCTACAGTATTGTGAGGGGAGATGTTTGGGTTGAAATTCGTTGGTCATTTTTTTTGCATACCCTGTACATTTGAGAGAGAGAAGTAACTCATCAATGGATGAATGCTGAATGGATGGAGAAACCCCCCTTCTTGTGGCTTTGTTCAACGGTATGCGCACAGCTCGTGATGTCAATGAGGTATCAGCTAATTACACATTCTGCGTATTTTTTTAGCGGTGGTAGAGAACTTTTTTAAAGTGCCATTATTTTCTTTTTCGAAGACGGAGTCGTTAAACCCCAATCGTTCCTCTCCTCTCCGCACATTCATGCCATTTCGATTTTTCCTGCATTTTGTATGACAGCTGAAAAGATACAGACGTATGAAGGATCAAAGTCTGTTTTCTGTTGTGTCCGTGACACGGTTTGAATTATATAAGTTATTTATTGAATTTTGGAAATGTAAATGTAAATGGTGCAGCAGCGTCATCACTTAATGCTTTATTTTGTTTATTTCGGCAGGGAGTATAAGAGGAGAAGAATGTTGTTCTGGTTGCTGTTCGTACTGACGAAGGTGGAGCGAGGATCCAGTCACCCTCCATGCGAAAAATCCTACCAGGCCCAATGGCCTAGCAATGGACTCTGCTACACGGAATTCACGCAAGGACCTTGCCCCCCGGGGCGAGAAATCTCCTACAACGTCTTCATCGGAAGTGGGGAATGCACTTGCGTCAGAGGGTTCCTGGAATACCCCCAAAACGGCCAGTGTTACGAAGAATTCGGACAGGGCCCATGCGAACCCGGTCTGATATTCGTGACCGACCCCCAAGGCAATGGAACGTGCGACTGCAGACCCAGTCTCAAGTTCTACTACCATCGGGACACTCGGAAATGCTTTCCTCTGTATTCTCGGGGCCCCTGTGAACTGGGTCAGCATCTGGTTTTTGACTACGCTCGTGGTGAGCCGAGCTGTCGATGCAAGGATAACCATATTCCCTGGTCAGATGGAAATTGTTACGAGTTGAACACCCGAGGACCATGTCGAGAACAATGCGAAAGTGGTGTGGAATGCTTGCTGAGAGATTTGGACACGAGGACGACGGATTGTCAATGCGTGTCCCAGTACGAATCCGACGGACGATGTTTCCAAGCCTTCAGTCAAGGTTATTGCCCCCTCGGACAGTGGCTTGTACCGAGTCAAAATCATTCCACGTCGAGCCTTCAATGCCAAGTGAAACGAGAGTGCAAGAAGTTCGACAATTGGTTCCACGATCCTCAGACCAAGACCTGTTACCGCCAGTATTCCCAGGGCCCTTGTCCCAAAGGAAAACTGTTTTATCTTGATCGAGTCAGTGGGGAGATTAAGTGCGGGTGCGAATCCACGTGGAAGCCGTATTACTGGCCGGGGGACGGGGGTTGTTACGAGCCGAAATCCGAAGGTCCATGTCCTCGGGGCAAGTACTTCCATTACGACGTCGGTAACGGGAGGACGGAGTGCCGATGCTTCCACAATCACGTCCCCGATCGCAAATTCCCTGTCTGCCACGAGGAGTTCACCAGGGCGGATTGCCCGTTGGGATTGCTGGTCCGGGCTCATCCGAGGACGGGAGAAGCCGTCTGTGATTGCTCCAAAGATATGATCGGGCATTTTTGGGCCGCTGATGGCCGATGTTACGAACATTTCACGAGGGGTCCTTGCGAGAAAGGGCAGATGTTCAGGCTCGGCTGGGGTCTCGATAGTCCCATCTGCATGTTTTGGCCTCCCTCTTTCACTTGATAACCATATTTTCTTCCGTCATTTTCACTCGAGTACAAGTACCACTTTGTAGGTTTTCGAAATGAAAGTTTTCAATGTCCTCCCATTCAACTGTGAATTATGGATACTTATTCTTCACGGAGACGGATCAGATCTTCATTCTAGGTCCCACAATCAGGAACCATCTCGTTCTCTTTGCATACCCAGACAACTGGTACACGTCACACACGTATTTGAGGTCTCATGCCAAACGATCCCTGAAAATTGTCATAACATTTGTAAAGTTATAAAAACATGTGTGGGAATTGTGGAAAGACTTCGGTAATATGCATGTAAGGAAGCCTTGTCTTTGCCGCTTGAAACCAGCGTTTGAAAATTAAGCTGATTGAATTTACGCGGTGCTAAATAAAGTCTGAAACACGCAAAAATACTAGAAAAAAGTGATAAATTCTGTTTTACTCGGCCAAGATGTGGACAAATTGAACAGCGTTCGAGTTTCTTGCAGTCAAAATCGGATAATCGTGGAACACATGGCATGAAAGTCCTCAGAAGTTCTAATCCCGCTTCCTTCACATTAGATCCATACACGATCCACCACAGATAGATGAGATATGAATGGAAGAAACCTGCACGAATGGGCATTCAAGAATTCCTGTTCTATCATGTTTCAGGCTTTCACGTGCGGAGGCTCAATGGTACCGAAAAATGTGGCAAGGAGCCTTCAATTTAAACTTTCATGTTGAATCTGACGGGAAATTTATAGCCATTTGCACCGAAGCGCCAACCCAGATCTCACGAGAGAGAGAGAGAGAGAGAGAGAGAGAGAGAGAGACTTCAAGGAAGATACTGTATGAAGGACTGAGCGATTTTGAGTTGGAAGAAAGGTAACAATCAGACCTAATTGTCATGTTGTCTGGTGGAAGCTGACCATTTGAATGCGCAGAATCCCTGAGCTCGTGCTTTGCATCCACGAATAGCTTTTTTCTTTAAATTTGAGACGTTTCTCAGCCAAGTCCGAGAATTCAAAAGAACTGTTGCATGCACCCAACGGGTTGCCAAAACTTATTCTTATTGTGTTGGCCACTGCATTTGTTTATCTGTTGAGGAAAATAGGTAGTTCGGCTTTTTTTATGTGTCAAAATGTCCGAATTCTGTGTCACTTTTAGGGAGAGACTTCTTGATTCTCGGGCATCAACATATCCTCGTTCGTGGAAGCGTAAAGTCAGGTTAATACTACTGCTGTACAGCATGTTGCATGAAGTTGCTGAACAGCAATTTTCTCGCTACATTGCAGGATTGCAGTCGGTTTAGTTCAAACTCGAGCTGTACAGCATGCTGGATGTTGTAACTACATCTTGTTCTGAAAAATCCTATTCAGCTGCTGAATTGCAATCCTGCAATGCAGTTATAAAATTGCTGTTCAGCAGCTTCATGCGGCATGGCATCCGGCAAAAAGTCTGTGCTGTACATCATGCTGGTCTGAATTGAAACTCATTCCGATTTTTTAGACTGCAGTGGAGCATGTAGTATCAGGACCGTCCAGAGGTTTCCAGAGGCCCAAGGCAAAACTAAACCGGAGGGCCCTTGGAGGCCTCCTTAAGGCCCCCTGATACACGAGGGCCGAGGCACATTGTCCCTGATGCCCCCCCCCCCCCCTCCCTCTACGGGCGGCCCTGTATAGTGTACCAGATGCACTTCTGCATCAGCTGGGAGAAACACGTAGTTCAGCTGTTCGTTAACGGACTGCTGCGGATTACCTCCAACTTCCAGTATACTGTGCAGTAGGAGTATAAACTCGGTCTAAAACGTGAAAATGTGGTGAAAAGGTTATGCGTTCTTAAATGCTTTCTGTTGGGTTTCTGCTGCTGACGTCACTCTCAGCTTACAGGATTAATACCTATCGATTATTGTACCGGATACGATCAAAGAGATTTTGCAGGTCTATATTTCAATTTGGAGGAAAGGCGGTCACTTCATTTCCACTACAGGCCCGCTTAACTCCAGCCTGGGTATTGTGGGGCTTGGAAAATAGGTCTTCATTCGTATTCGCTCCATGCCATGAAATTAGCTTGGGCTATGGTAAAAGAATATGGCACTGATGATCTCTAAAGGGAATTCTTCTGACGGAGGTCTGGTACTAAACAACAGATGAACGAGTATTCTTATTGTGGTTGACCGCTTCTGACATCTAGCGACAAGAGACGGAATGTCACCTGGGAGTGCGCAGACGCTTGAAATTACGTCACGAGGAATCGACGCGGATACTGGTCGTACGACCACGGAGCATGCGCAGACCACGCGTCATTGTAGCATGTCTGCCAACTGGTTGAGTCTGAACTTTCACCAACCATTGTTCAGATTCATGTCTAGGGCAGGCTTGCTCGAACTGGACACTGACCTTCGCTGTTTCTCTTTCGACTCTTCATTTTTCTTACATTACGAGGGAATTGGTATTTGGAAGGGTGGTGAATAGATGTTCAGCCTGTTTCTTTTGATAGTGACGCAGGGAAATGTTCTGTGGTGGTAGTTAGAAATTAACGTTAGATTTTTGTAAAGCACTTAAGCATTGGCCGAATTATACTTTTGCCCTAGCTTAGGATAGCTATAGGTCAGAAGGATGGCTTCTCACGTTGGACCTATCAACATTTTCATCATTCACAGGTGAAACTATGCTATCTGTGGCACTTGGAGTTGCAGTAATGATTGCTTCCATAGCAATCAGCTTCTGGATGCATTTTTCTGGTGATTCTGTGTCTGATAGAGTGAAGTCTTATAGGTTCGTCCGATACGATGCAGTCATTTCTTCCATGTGGTGCACAGGAGACGCTGTGATGCGGCAGTGTCGATTTGAGAACGTTTGCTATATGCCCCAAACCGGGGAATTTATTTTATTTTTGCATTCATCATCAGCTTTTTCAGGCATTGCTCCTTCTGACTTGAAAAAGGTTCTTAGATTGTCTCCAGTTATTGGATTTAATGGCCACTTCTTGCCTCTTGTTGTGCTGCCTTCTTACTCAGCTCTGAATCATTACATTCTTGAATATGATCGGTCTTGGTTACTAATGATGAGATTCAAGCCTGATAATCTTCTCCATGTATTTCATGATGATTTAATTCCAGCATATGGTAGGATTCAGGGCATTTGTGGAAGTAATGCCCCTTGTCTTCAAAACTTTGGACTCTTCATTTTAGATGGCCTTGAAGATTCTCCTTATGAGAAGCTATACAATGCTTTTTTGTCAGTTTCACCTTTAAGAAGTCAGTCATTGAGTAAGGGGATGCTGCATTGTTTCCAAGAAGCTTATGGTGGATTGGATCAGAATGTAGTATTTTATGATTATGGATTTGTAAATCCACAAGTGCCAGTGAGTGTGAAGAATGTGAACATGGATAGGTTATTGAAATCTTTTGCTTCTCATATGGAAGAAAGCCTTATGAATAGATTTTGTGAAGCAAAACATGACTACATCATGCTGTTTGTTCGAGAGGAGACGAGAAAATTTTTAAATATTGATGAAATATTAGCTTGTTTGCATTCAGACTCTATATTTGATGGTGAAGTAATTTCTGTTTCAGAAGAGAAGGTAGATTTTTCCCAACTGATTTGCTACATAAAGCAATCAAAGGTCATTATTGGAATGCATGGTGGTGGCTTGAGCTTATCATTGTTTCTGACTGGTGGTAGTGGTCTGATAGAAGTATTTCCTTATGGTATAGATCCTGAAAACTTGCAGGTTTATAAAACACTAATGAAATTGAGAGGTTCTGAGTTTGCATATGTTTCTTTGCCAGTAACTGATCCTGGCAGATCAGTCCCTCATCCAGAATATCTCCCAAATAAGGGAGGGTTGAATCATTTGGATCCAGACACTAAAAAGATGGTGGAGAAAATTGAGGTAGTTCCTCCACTTCCATGTTGTGATGATCCTGTATTCCTCTATAGAATCTATCAGGATGTGATTTTGAAATGCGATGATCTGAAGAATGCTCTGCATTCATTGAAAACAACATTGGATTCACAATCTGCCCATATAGCCTTGGATAAGTACTTGCTTCCAAGTTCCCCAAGAGATCTCAGCTGCTGCACAGTTAACACAACCCTGAATGTTTTGTATCAGAGGCCCACAAATGCAGAGTTTTTGTCTGTAGCTTTAGTCTATTATGTTGACTATGGGGTTAGGGGTGGTGGCAGTGCTGTTAGGCTGATTACAAAGCAGGAAGTAGTGAAGACCACATTGGAAAAAAGCATGCATGGAAAGACCATATTGGTTTGGGTCACTCCATTAGCAGGTGGTGAAGAAGGCCCATCTGCTATGGCAGAATGCTCCTTGTGCTGAGAAATTTTTGAGGTGGGTATTCACTAATATTTTGACTTTTATGTCAGGCTGTTCCTGAACTGTATCGCCTTGTGTCTTTCTCATTAAATTGGAAAGACCTTGCCTATAATAATTGAGTTGCAAATTTTCATGCATCCTACTTAGTAAGCTTTCCTAATGGATTATGGGCCTATTTCATTTACAGGATTATTGGTATAAAAAAAAACTTGCATTATTACCATTATTACTTTGTCTTTTTAGATTGTGCCAAGTTTCTCTGAGAAACCTTGAGTGTGAACTGGTCCATTGTTTTTTAAAAATGGGGAAGGCTGAGTTTGGAACCCCCAAATATATTGCCAATAAGATCAAGGCCAAGGGCCTGCAGAAGCTACGCTGGTACTGTCAGATGTGTCAAAAGCAGTGTCGAGATGAGAATGGGTTCAAGTGCCACACTATGTCTGAATCTCATCAGAGACAACTTCTCTTGTTTGCTGAAAATCCACACCGTTATTTGGATTCCTTCTCCAGGTTTGGCTCTTAGTATTCGCCAGATATTTAGTATGTAAAGTGCCCAAGGCTCATAGTTTGCTTTATGCACACTATGAGCTTTGTGCAAGAGACACCTTTGAATACTTTACTTACCTATCAACAAAGGATTTCAACTCTAAAGCATTCTTGTCATTCTCATGAAAATAATTTTTTAGGAAGAAAATATACTTCTTCAGAGTTGTTCTTTCATACAAAACACCTATAGAATGCAAATTGATTCAGATCCTTGAACTCATCAATTGTCTAGGGAGTTTGAGCAGACATATCTTCATTCCCTGAAGATGAGATATGGCACCAAACGAGTGAATGCCAACCAGGTTTACCAAGAGTACATCTCAGACCGACATCATCTTCACATGAATGCTACAAAATGGGAGACCCTGACTGATTTTGTCAAACACCTTGGTCGTGTTGGGAAATGTGAGGTTGATCAGACAGAAAAGGGTTGGTTTGTCCAGTATATTGACAGGTCAGTTTGCCTGAAAGTTATTGTGTACAGGTGATTATTTTTAAACCCATTTAGACTAACCCATCGATGATGTAGTCCTGTTAATGTGTTTACACAGAGACCCAGAAACAATTGCGATGCAGGAGAAGCATGCCAAGAAAGAGAAGATGGCAAAGGATGATGAAGAAAGACTCAAGGACTTCATAGAAAAGCAGGTGAGTCTCAGCACTTTATTGAATTTGGCTTTCCACCTTGCTTTGAAATGAAAACATTTGGCTTGCAAACTTGAAAGTTATTCACATTATAGGTGGAACGAGGCAAGAATGTTGCAAATTCAGAGGATGGCCCTTCCTATACTGAACTCCAAAGAGAAGGAGAGGAAAAGGTGAACCTCAATCTCAACCTGAGTCAAGCTAAGTCAACTGGAATAGGAGAGAAAAGGCCCAGCTTAGAAAATCCCCTGATGAAGACTTCTAAAAGTTCTACTGTGAAGGAAAAGGGAAAAGATGAGTGTCAGCCTCCAGAGAAAAGAAAGAAGAAATCAGCTCTGGAAGAACTTATGGCTGAGGAAGAACGCATAAAAGAGAAGTCTAATCGGAAGGACTATTGGCTCACTGAGGTATAACATTTTTCAGGAACTTCTTAATATATGTAAATTTATCATCAGAATGGGCCATTTGAGTCTCAAATTTTACACACAGGGCATTGTGGTCAAGGTGATGGCCAAGTCCTTGGGAGACAAGTATTACAAAGAGAAAGGTGTGGTGAAGGAAGTCATCAATCGATATGTTGCCATTGTGGAGATGATCAAGAGCGGACATCGGCTAAAACTTGACCAGGCTCACGTGGAGACTGTCATTCCTGCCTTAGGTCAGTGATTTGAATTTTGCATACATTCCTTTTCTTTATAGCATTTAGCCTGTTGGCACCCTCAAAGTTTCCTTCTTTCATATAAGTGCTGCTAAATTCCAGTTATTTTGCTGGTGGATTAACTTTTTCTCTACTCAATGAAATGCAGATTTAGATTTATTATTTAATTTTAGTACCCAATTTAAGTTTATAGTACTCAAGCGCAGAAGGGCAGCACCCAAATAAAAAATATGGAGATTGCAGATATGGAGAGAAGAAATTGTGTTTGAGAGAGAGAAAGTCATCATGACAGCAAATGATGTTGGTTGATTCCATGTTGGTAGATGTAGGTAAGTAGGCAGGTAGATGCTCACACGGTTGCTAGCATTTAAATAAAAATACTAACAGGTTTATGGGCCTTTTTGGCCTTTGAGACCTGTGTAGCAGCCACAACCTCAGCTCATTATAGTCTGAGACAGATTGAAGTGACCTTTTCACTGGTTGGTTTCCATTCAGTGATACTGTCAGCTAGTTGGGGACTATTGAGTATTCTCAGTCCTACATGAGCAAACATGGTAGGGTCAACTCTGTTCCAGTAGAGTACACCTGTGGACTAGGCTGATGAAATGTGCTATTCTTCTTTGTCAATGTGAGGTGGACCATATTTTGCCCTTGCTGACTTGCTTTTCCAATGAATTCTGCTTTTTTTGCTACAGTGTCAGCATGTTCAAGTCCCAATATCCAAAGTCTGTTGTCTGTGTTGTTTCATTTTGTTCTGTTCTTGGTTTGACTTGAAGGCATAATCTTGAAGACATGCCAATGACAGGCAGACCAATAGACCTGGGTGTACCCCAATGGGGTCTGATGCATCCAGAAACATACATTCTTGGCATCAGTACTCATCTTCTGAATAGTCACCATAGAATGCAAAGACTCACATGATCTCTGTTATCCTAGGCAACAACTTATCGGTGTGGATTTCTTGAGCCTAACATACGGTTTGGTTTTTTTTTAGTCTCAACAAAAACCCTGACCTAAGATGTTTTAGCTTCCTGAAACACTAGCATTCATTCCCACAAAGTGAACGTACAAAACCGTGACCAACTAGGACCAGTGTCATGTACAAAGGGGGTAGGAAAGTTTATAGACTCTTCTTTACTAAAACTGATTTTCCACTGGTGGTATTCAAAATTTTAATTATAGAGGCATTCATGTTTCCTCATAAATATGTACTTGACTCTATCATTTCATCTTTATTCCTTCACTTTCAGTAATTTTTTTAATAATAAAGGCTAGAGATGTCTTTTTGTAGACCAGTGAACAAGCAAAACAAATGTAAAAGTCAATGAATTGGTTCAGTATTAAGAAGTACCTTGTGAAATGATGAACCATTACTAGCATGTGTTCATGTATCTGTTTTATATTTTAAGTTTATATTTTAAACATGCTAATATTTTCTTTCTGTTTACAGGAAGGGTAGTAATGGTTGTGAACGGTGCCTATAGAGGGAACCTAGCCACATTGGTTACCATCAATGAGCAGAACTTTTCAGCAACCATTGAAATCAGCTCTGTAAGCAACATTTTTTGGTTGATTTATATTTTTATTGTGATGGAGAACATTGAACATCATTTAATGATTGACTTTTTTTTTTACAGGGCCTCCAGAAAGGTAGAAAAATAGAGAATGTCCAGTATGAAGACATTTGCAAAGTGCACTACCCATCGTGATGTGAAGTGGACGAGAATGCCAATGTTTGATCTGTGATATCACGAGGCACTGACTTGCTCCCTTGCCTGCCTTTGCAGATGTGGCAATCTACATGATGCTATACAACTGCATCCCCCAATATCAGTGTCGATAGTGAGACCAAGAATGAATCAGAGGATCACCCTGGAGTTTTTTCCATTCCCTCTGTTACAGGTTCTACCCTGGTCATTTTTACATGAGCCTTTAAAAAAAAAAGTTTGCTTATGGTCTCGTCTGTCTGTGTAACCATTACTGCTTTCTTTGTCCAGCAATATACCTTTCCAAGAAAGTTTTGGAATTTGAAAAGAGGGTCAAGGGACAAAGGGCTAGCTCAACCAAAATTTTTTGTATTGTTCTGCTTGATAGGTCAGTAAAAGAATGAAAATGGAACTGTGGTTAATTTTCCCTTAACATAATGCCAGTAATCCATCTCTCTCACTTGTGTGGAAACAAACCAATTTTCCCAGCAGAAATCTCAAATAACCAATATTAAAAAGTCTCTCTTGAAGCCCAATTCCTAAAATCAATAGCTATTCATTCTTAATATTGATAAGTTTTCCAATTTCCTGGACCATTCTCATCCTTCAAGGCCCAAGTCTCCATTTTGTCCCAGGAATTTGAGGAAACACAACCATGGCTTTCTCTGAATTCAGAGTGAGGGAAAATAAGAGTGTTATTCACAGGAATCATCTTACCTATTGATAAATAGAGTAATCCTTGTCTACTGACATCAAATCATTCTAAGGTGAAGGGAAACTACATTAGTCTTGGTTGCCCTGAAATGATACTGCGTCACCACCATTGGAGGAACTCGGCACTCTACCTTCCATGAACATTGGATGCATTCTCCACACACTTCTTGTGTGATTTGAAGCCAAAAGACTGTCCAAAGTTTCTGAGTATGACTGGTCTGACAAAAATTGTGTTGTGCTGGACAAAGCACCAATATTTAAGTTTTGCAGTCCTCTGAGTGAAATTTTCTCTCTCTCCAGGATAAGAACCAAAAATAACTCATCACTCCTGCTAGGTTTTCAGTAATTTGGATTTTAAATACTCTGGACAAAATTACTGACCCCCCATACATTTGGATTAATGAGTTTGCTGTTTGTGACCTTGTACCTATACATTCTCTCAGTAAAATCTTAGCCTCTCTACTTCTGTCTGAAGAATGACTCAATAGTGACCTTTGTAATGGAACTGTAACGTCTAGAATTTGAGTTTTGTTTTTTTTTTTACTTATTCTATGTCTAAATGCATGGGTCTACAGGATGCAATATTTTATTTCATCCCATTTGAGGCCTCATCAGCTGGAAAGCATGGAAGGGTGACTTCTCCTCTACCCCCTTGTGTACAACACATTTTGCTCTCCTGAAGTGGATGTGTTTGGCTGTAATACATCAGAACTGCCATTCTCTCAAGCAGAATGGAGTGTCAACATTTTATAGGGTGTCAAAATAGTTTCAGACTCCATGCTATTCTCCTGACTGTGACTTAGTGCATTGTTCATGCTTCTTCAAGGACAAGGCATAGCAAGACTGTTGACTGCTCAAAAGCTCATTGTCAGAAACTTTGAATTTGAATAACTCCCACCCTGTAGTGACATCCCATTTTGATGAGCTTCAAATGCTTGTATGGTCAAGTATTTATTATAACTATTTCCTTTCAACACTCAAAGAAACTATTTTATGACACCCTAAACCAACCAAGTGGACCTCAGGAACATGAAATGCCATCACAGGGTGTGAGCTGTTCATGCCTGGAAAGTTTCCAGTGAATTAACAGAAAACATGAAAATGAACATCTTGGATGAAAGTGGGACAAGTGTAAGATACAGTAGGTCGAAGCCAATACAAGATAGTTCATTTTAAGATTTGGTAGCCTTGAGAGCTTATTTTGGTTGATGTCTTGGATTCCTTTTCTGTTCCTCATTCTTCTGGAGGCTTTCATCCGGGAATTTTTTTTTTTCAACTAAACAATCATAATTGGAACCTTGTTTTTGAAAAATGGGCATGACCTTGAAACTAACATTTAGAAGTGAAGTGGAAGGATCTCCACCCAGATGATTGGCTGAATTAAAAATAGGAATTTTCAATGAGTTCATGTAATTTGACTTTCTTTAACTGTATGACTGGTGGAGGTCTCTCTACTTTTGATTCCAAAGCATATCAGTGTGGCAGATAAAAAAGTAAAGCATACTAATAGAAAAGGAAGTAACTGAAGGAGAGGAAGTGAGGTAGAGTGGTGGGCTAGCCCTGACTCTCACATTCTTATGACTATGGATTCTATGCATAATAACAATACTTTCTTGAATTTGTATTTTGTATATTGCCAGGATTGCAGCAAAATTCCATGGGAGAACATGTGTGGATAAGGTATAGATGGGAATTTTTTGTGGAGTTATGTCCAAAACTAAACTTTCACAAATTTGAAACTGTAATTGATTATTTGATGGTAAAAGAGACCATACTATAAGCTTGATGGTTTTTCTTGCATTTTTCCTCAGCCTCATTACTTCATTCTTGATCCATGGACACTGTCATAGGAGAGATAACATATCCAAATGATACAGGGACAAGATCAGTTGGGATGTTACCTGTTAAAGATTTGCTTGGACAATCAGAATTTATGAGAAATGGATGGAAAATTATGAAAATTCAGCATTCAAGAAGTATGCCACTGGCTTCTTCATGCCTCAGAATGATGTTATATTTTGTTTTGCTTGTATGCAAGATGAAGCAAGTCTTAGTTTGTTTTTGAAGTTATCTCATGGCTGTTGCAGGTCAGTTAAGTTTTGAATTCAGAAAAAACAGCATTGAGTTTGACTTTTTGACAAGAAGGGAAGAAAGCCAAGAAGAAAGAAAGGGAAGAAAGCCATTCATGAACCCCTGCTGGCAATGTATGAAGATTCTTCTTATGGTTGTAATGCAGTGGTAAGCTGGATCATTAAATTTAGTTGGCCTCACAGCTTATTTGAAGGTAAAGCTTGGTCCAGATGGGCTGGTTATCAGACCACCTTAAATAATGTAAGTTGAACAGACAACATAATGCATCCTGCCAGCCAGTGAATGTGGTGTACACATTTGAATGGGAGTGTGTCACCAATTGCATACAAAGCCCTGTACCTTTCAGTTATGAATTTTTTCCTTAGTGACTCTTAAAAATAGCATCAAGATTGATTCTTTTAAGTGCTAGCAATTGCCAAAAGATTTAGCAAGCTGTCCAAGAAAAATGCCAATAATGTGCAACATGAAAATATTTCATGAGTGGCCATATGGAGATCCATGACAGGTAAAGTACCAGCTTCATTGAAAAGCAGAATAGATTTTAAAAATTGTTAGGAAAATGTTCAATTAGAATGGTTCGGTTTTTAATTCTTGTGTGAGACAATTTGGGGATTGCAAAGGTGCCTGGTGGGAACCAAGAGCATTTACACTAGAGCAAAGCCATTCAGATGTTATGTCTGCCCCTTTTGGTTCAACTTAATGCTGATCCAAAGGAATATCCTGCATGGAGTGTAAAAGGTTGATGAATCATGGGTTTGAATCCTGAGATGAAACCGGAATCCCTGGAATGGAAACACAAGGACTCTTCACTGCTAAAGGAACTGAACTCAGTCTTCAAGGAGAGAAATAACTATAATTTGCTATTTCAAAACAATGACCCTGATGCATTATCCATCATTTAAAATATGAGTGATGTTTGAATATTGCCTTGCTTTTCTACATTGCTTTTATGCAGCAACAAATGAAAAGTGAAGGACCATGTTATCTTGTGGTGTTCAACTGCTTCATAAAAATGCCCTGTAGAGAAGGTATTTGCTGTTGCTGCTAATTCTAGCATGAGGGGGAAAACAGATTTCTTGCTGCTGAGCCATTATGGGAGCATGGCTGGAGAGCCAAGAATATTAATTTATTTTTGATGGCATAGTTTCTTTGAAGAAAAAATTAGCATCTTGAAGTAAATGGTGATTATATTGCAAATTGAGACTGTGTGCAGGCATAGATTCTGTGTTGCATTGTAAGATCTAATAATTTATTGACCACCCCTTGCTAGCTACTAAAATCATTGGTAAAGAATTACAGACTTGGGGGGAAGGAAATGATTTTCAGGCCCTTTTTTCTTTTCCAGAATGTGCCTGCTGCCATGGATCATGAACTTGCCTAATTTCTTGCAGACTGTTTTTATAAGTTTCTAATATGAAATTATCCAAGATCCAAGTAATGCCTAACCATCTCATAAATAACTGTTACTGTATGGTGCAGCAGGTACATTGTATAGTATTGCTGAGTGTTCAATGCACCTTTAACCCCCCCACATTTTGTCAGCCCTGAAAAAATTTTACAAACTGTCACTAGCTTGGCAGTGTTTTTCATTGCTCTACCGTCCCAACAGCCAAAAAATGCAGTTCCTACATAAATAGGCCAAGACAAAGGCATGTGTAAGGAATTACAATGGGCAATGAAAACTTGCACAAGGGGGAAGGGTGGAGTAGGAGATGGTTCTTTGTTTACTTTTCACTAGCTAGCTGTTTTCACCAGCCAAACCACAAAATGTGCTTGCCACTGGTATGTGGGAATTTTACTGGCCTGAATTATATGCAAATTACCATGCTAATTTTTGAAAAATGATTGTCCAGAAGAATTTTAATGGAAGAAAGTAAAGGGAAGTAAAAACACTCCCCCCCCCCTTTTTTTTTTTTTTAAGGAGAAAGTAGTCTGGTAGCAGAGGTAATTACCTTTCCCAGCACTGCAGAGAGATTCTAAAAGGAAAAGTGCTGAAAAAAGCAATTTGTTAGAAGTCTTGGATAGACATAAGTGGCACATTTTTTTTACTAGATTGCTCATACATTAACTGTTGGCAAGTAACCTGCTGACTATTCACATTCTCATGTTATGTTGATGCTCCCTCAAAGGTTGAATGAGTGAAATAGATTAGAAGTTTTGCTAGTAGGCTAATAAATTGGTTGGAGATTTCCTGCATGTAACTAACAAAGTGAATGTGGGCTGCATGTAATCTTGCAGCATATGCACATTTTATATTCTCCATGCATTCTACAAGGAGTGATCAAGAACTTTCCAGACTGGTTTTGTAAACTTGTTTATTTCTTAGAGGCACAGATATCATTCCTTATAATAATCATGAGTTGGGTCTTGAGGGTGCATGGGGAAAACTTCTTGCTAAGGGTAAAAGCATCTATGTTCAGACAGTACCTCAGTTTGGACACAGTGAAATATATTGTTATAAAACAAAACATTTGTAAGGTCACCCTCAGAAACAGCTCTACCAAGCTGTAAAGAACTGTTTCTTAGGGAGAGTTCATCAATGCTTGGTTTTGTAAAAAAAAAAAAATATATGATAGTGTCTGAACATAGGTACTGTCCAAACTTAGATGGTTTTACTCTACTGGTTTTCATTTTGTCTACATATTTTCCTCAAGTGGACTCTTTGACCTACTTTTTAATCACCCCCTGTTCATGGTCTAAGAATGAAGCCTAGATATAGAGAATATTACCTTGGTACATTCAGATGGAACAGCAATGGAAGTCCTCAATCTATCATCTCACCAGTGGGGCCACCATCCTCAGCAGATACA